GATCCACGCGAGACTGTTCGCGGTGTATGGTATACCTGGTCGTTGCCGACGGCAACGTGATCCGCGGCGTGCGACGCTGATTCGGTAAAGGTGCACCGTTCAGTGAAGGATCCGAACGAAGAAACCGATTTTTGAAAATTTTTTTTGCCCTCTCCGGAAATTTTGTGGCTCGATCGAGTGATTTTTTCTATTTTGTTGGTGATCAGTGACCCCCCGATTGCGGGACGAGTGCGCCTGATTCGTTTGCTCGCAAACGAATGAGATCGTTCGACCGGTGAACCGGAGAGGCCGAGCTGTTTGTTCCCTTTTTCGCGGATAGTCTTCGGCGAGGACCATTCGCGCAAGATCATGGAGGTTCACGCGCATCACTACAACACCATCGCGTCGCGGATGAACCAGATGAAGTGCTTCCCTGGGGATAAAATAGTAAGCGGACGAGAACTTTGTTTTTAGACGCGGCTTTCCTCTTCGCGGATCTTTACTCGACGAACGGTGTTGACACCGCTCTCCGGATGCTATTGTTCGGGCTAGTAATTTAGTAAATGGCCTTGAATCCCGCGCCTCGTGGAAATTGTGGTAACTGGTCGCCGGAACGGCGATGCCCGATGCATTGTGTTCTTCAAAACGATGATTGTTCTTCGGCGTTGGTTACTTGATTGCTCGAAACGGTCTTTCTGGAACAATGTTTTTACCGTTTTCAAGAATTGCATTGTTGTTAGTACCACTGGACACTTTGGAGTTTTTGGCTTATATTTTCACTGAAATCGGAAAGTTGTTTCTGTCAGAAATTACTTGCAATTAGTAAATGCAGTTACTCGCGTGTACGTTGAAATGAAAGTCGCGTCGAATATTAACAAATTTAGTCTTGCGATTATTCTGAGAGATTAAAAGCGAGCCACTTTCACTACTCTACTTGCTTCTAGTGCTGAACAAGTTGGGAAACTGTGACACGTTGAAAATTGTTGATTATACATTCGGTACAAGGTAGCGAAGTACGAAGCCAAAATTGATCGATAAGCTAAATTGCGGTGCTCGTGGATGGTGGC